GCAAGGTTGCTTTTACTTTGGCCACTGAATAATGAGTAACCTTAATTTGCCCTAAGCATGGTTAATTACTCTAGATAGTAATCCATTAAACTTGTACCGACAATATACGGTGGCATGTTTTAAAAGCGTTTTCAAAAATTTTATTTATGATTCTTCAGGGTTCGGATTACGGTCGGAGGAATGGTTGCTCTGATCGTCTCCACGGCATTCGATCACGCGTATAAGGCTCCGCCGTACAATGTGGACGCGGCAGCTTCTCTTCCGCCGCAAGCCGACTACGTGTGGCGCATAATTCTGATGTTCGGAGCAGTGCCGGCGGCGATGACGTTCTACTCACGAGCGAAGATGCCGGAGACGGCGAGGTACACCGCTCTAGTGGCCAAGAATGCAAACAAGCAGCTGTCGATATGTCCAAGGTGCTCCAAGTCGAACTCGAAGTCGACGAGCAACCAAAATCATGCGAAAGAGCCAGCAACAGCTTCGGTTTGTTCAGTAAAGAATTTGCTCGCAGACATGGCCTTCACTTGCTCGGAACATGCGCCACCTGGTTCTTACTGGACGTCGCATACTTCAGCTCGAACCTTTTCCAGAAAGATATTTATACGGCAGTTGGATGGCTCCCTCCGGCGGCTGAAATGAACGCCATTCATGAAGTTTACGCGGTCGCAACAGCACAAGTACTGATCGCACTGTGCGGCACCGTGCCGGGATACTGGTTCACGGTGGCCCTCATAGACACGTTGGGACGATTCTTCATCCAGCTTATGGGTTTCTTCTTCATGGCGGTCTTCATGTTGGCTCTCGCAATCCCTTACGACCACTGGACCAAGAAGGAGAACAGAATCGGGTTCCTTGTGATGTACGCACTGACCTTCTTCTTCGCCAACTTCGGTCCAAACGCCACCACTTTCATCGTGCCGGCCGAGGTCTTCCCAGCGAGGCTGCGGTCGACTTGCCACGGGCTTTCAGCTGCTGCCGGAAAGGTCGGAGCGATCGTCGGGATGTTGGGGTTCTTGTACGCTGCACAGAGTAAAGATCCGGAGAAGACAGATGCAGGGTATCCACCTGGGATCGGCATGAAGAATGCTCTGGCGATGCTGGGTGTGAGTAACTTTGTGGGGATGTTGTTCACGTTGTTGGTTCCAGAAGCTAAGGGGAAATCGTTGGAAGAGATGAGCAGAGAGAATGAGGAAGAAGAAGGTGACGAGACGGCTAAAACCTCGGCTGCAAGAACTACTATTAATCCAGTCTGATGTTGTGAATTAATCAGCGATAATAAATGTTCAATTTTCCATGTGAATTGGGTTTAGTGAAAGTGATGATGTGGTGTGCCTGCAAGTATATCATCAGCTCAGATGTGTTTCCGAAAAAATGCATGATTTTAAGGATGATGGTTCGAGTTTCATCGATCTGGGGTATGACCAGACCACAGCTGATTCAAGAAACATAATATTTGACCATAATTAACAATTTTTTTTTCAAGTAATAAGTTAAGGGGGCAAAAAAAAAAGAGAAAGGAAATCCAATCTTTATTACTCCTTCATTTTCATATATAACTTACAAATAATCGCATCATGTTAATAAAAATGTTAGCTAAAAGTAATTAAAATTAATAAATACATTCAAAATTAGTTTTTTTTTATAAAAGTAACCTTACCTATGGAGGGGAAGCGTGAGAGAAATGATGGGTAGGAAAATTGTGATAATTAATATAGTAATAAAATGAATAATTAATAAGAGTACAAATATAAAATGTTGGTTAAAATTTCAAACATCCTTTTAAGTGTATCTTGTAAATAGGATCAAATGCGTACTAAAATTTGTTGTTGTATGTACGTTTTAGTGCGTAGTAAGTGTATCTCATGTGTATGTGTGTGCAAATATATGATCATGTGGAGTAAACAAGCGTCTCACGGCACTTAAATTCAAGATCACATGGTGATTTATTGGGCCATGAACCTGAAAATTAATTTTTAATATTATGGGGGGCCTCAAAGAGCCATTCATTGGCATTACACAGGATCTAACCAGTCAAATTATAATTCATCGTGAACATCTCACATTCAAAATATGAGAGGAAGTAAAGATTTTGAATGGGATGGGATGAAGATAAGTATGAAAAGACTCATTTTTTATCCTTTTAAAAGATATATGTAGTTGCAAAAAAATGTGGATAAAAATATGTAAGATATACGCACATATTATAAAGACTGCAAATTATTAAACAATACTTCCTGATCCTATTTAAAGGTAGAGAGAGAGGTTTTTTTTCTATTTATAAGTCACTTCATTAAATTTTTACCATGAATGTACCTAATCTCCTTTATTTTATATAGTTATAGATATTATTTTTTTTTGAAAGAATTATATATAAAATAGGGGGTAAAGTTCAAAAAATTGCTATATTTTAATGAAGAATTAATATAGTTTAAAGTTTTCTTCTGGTTTGTGGTGTGAAAAAATATTGGAAGTGCCTTATATAAATAGGACTAAGAAGAATAGTAAATTATTTGTTAAGAATATAACCCAAAAAACTAACTAAAAATCACTCTCAATAAAATTTCTATAATACTATTAAAAATAATTTTATTTTTTTAAGTGGAGCACTTAAACTTAATGGGGACAGCTACTATTAAGAAAAGAAGAGAACATGCATGGATGATCAGAAAGAGGAGAATAGAAAAGCTGGGCGTGATCCATTATATCATTATATATTCAATAAAAATATACATATATTTGTTTTTATTCAGATTCTGTTTTTTTCCAAGGAATTCCCCCACAAAAAGCCAATGGATTAGGATAGAAGATAACACTACAGATAGTATAAGGAGAACTAAATATGAACATGTATATAATATAATAATAATTCATGATGGTGAAAATATATATATAATAATTCATTACTTACTATAATAATAACTTGGAAACGCAAGTTGATATCTTTTTATATATAATTTTATTAATTATTTGTGGGAGTCTAAAAGCATTCATTTTATATAATGATGGATCATTGCTAGGTCTACTTTGTGACCGTTTGCGCATGATCTTTGCACACGTCTTTTTGTCGCCTAACGTAGACAGCCTAGCCTCGGATTGGACTGTTGGGGGCCGTGGAGTCATCCTTCCTAATTTATGATAAAGGTTAATGTTATTTTAATTTCTGAAATTTAATCTTGTTTTGATTTAGGCTTTCAAATTTGAAATCAGTAATTTTTTGAGAGACCAAAAATCTTTATGCCAACTAAAATGAAGAACGAATATTTTAAATTTTAGCCCCCGCTTGAAGAATTAAAAATGATATTAACCCTTATAATAATAATATATAGTAGTAACAATGTCCTGAATTCCTGATAATTACTTGATGAAGAAGGAATATTTTAAATTTTAGCCTGTACTTGAAAAAAAAATCTAGTACTACACTTTCAGTTCTAATTATAAGAACCGGTTGAGTAATTTGAGGAGATCAAAAAGTAAGTTGAGTTAGTTATTTGTCCTAATAGATGTTGTCTTTCCTAAAATATCCTTGCTTAATCAAGTATATATTGATTAGAGCTATAATTATTAGGACTATCTTTCAAAAAATTGAGTAAATATAAGAGACAAAGTGGATTGGTGTCTTATATTTAAGACCAAAATAAAAGTTAAATAGGGTTTTTTATTAAGGATCAGAGGTAGTATAAGACTAGTATTTTATTATATGATAATGAATGTGAGTTTTAAAAAGACAACAAGACTATATAAAATTAAAATAGTAGAGAGGAAGATACTAAAATAGATATGTGGTCATACAATAAAAAAAATAAGATTCATAATAATTGTATTGTTTCCAGTCTTATTTATAAACTTCAAAATTGGACAAGAGATAGACAGTATAGCCCATTTTCTGAATAAATGCATATTTAAATAAAAAAGTATATTTGTTAGCTATTTATTACATTTAATTAATTTTTGCTGTTTTTTTAGTTATACATAACTCGATCATCATTCAAAACTACCAGGACCATAGCCAGTATCAGAGAAACAGTAGGCGTGACATCTCATGAAATGAGGCTTGTTGCAGTTGACAATAAAATAATGTTTGCATATTCTAGTCCGAGGAATATGATTCTCAGTCGCCCCATTTCAAAGTCCAGATCTACAAGTTATTCTTGCAGAAATTAAGGCTAGCATATACATAATCCTGTTTTTTATCTTAATATTTTAATACGTCAATTAATATTTAAAAGATTTGTCCTCCATGCATGATTGCAATCATATTGAAATTAACAAAGATTCAATATATCACAAAAGACCTTACTTCACACACTTCCAACTTACTTTCATATAAAGCTACTTGGGTATAGATTTGAACTTAAATATGAGATTTTAATTCATGGGTTTTTTTAAATTTATTTTTTCCCCCTCAAAATATCCCTATTGATCTTAAGAGATTCCCACTAAAAGAAAAGACACTGAATGTTAAATTAGTAATTAAATTTTAAAGGTATAATAAAAAATTTCAAATTATCTCCCCAGTCCAAACTAGTCACTAGAAGATGAGTTAAGAATCAGAAGAATTGTTGCAAACTTGGGGTTAATGTCATAAGGACTTGGACATAACAAAGTAACATGTCATACATAGCATTTTCACTAACATTTTATTTTTTGTAAGCTTAACTTATTTTTGGTACAGAAAAGTTTGGAACCTCAAAGCTAGGAAGATTGCTGGCTTCAGACTTGAAGAGATATATCTTTGCCGAAAAGATTGCTGATTCCTTTCCCAGGATCGCTTTGTTTTACAATAGACTCTCCAACCAAACCTGCAAACAAAAAGTTATATATATACATATAAATAATAATAATAATAATAATAATAAAATAAAAAAAATCGTAGTTTGATTTGATATTATATTATAGTCATATATTGGCTGCATGCACTGTTCACTGATTTGTAGATCAGGTTTGATTATAATATCCAAATACTTACAGCTTTGACACCAGCTTCTTGTACATAGGCAATGTCATCGGAGTAAACAGGCCAGATCCCCAACAACCTTAACAAACAATTCATGGAACAAGATCATCATTAGCAGCATAATCACTACCAAAAACAGAGATCTTTCAAGGAAGTCTTAGTAAAGATATAGAGGACATACAATTAAGTCTTTCTCACGGATTATTCTGCCTCGCTCTCCTTCAAGAAGCTTCTTTGTGTTACTGATGTCCACCTCAAATGTTCCTGCAAACCAAAATAACAAAGCTACGATAAGTCAGTCTCTCATTCAAATAAGATGAGAATGAGAATATTCAAAGATGAAGTAGAAGATTGTTTATGTTTTAGTCAAATGAGTATCGAAGTTTGAGCAAGAAAACATATTTTTTTTAACACCACAAAACTTATATATCATATAATAATCTAAATGGGACTACCGACACAGGTACTCATGGGTTAGTACATTTAAGACAATTCAACAATGAGGTCTTGCACAATGATCACAGATTTCAACAAATAACAGACAACTTCTCAGAAAATCAGACTCGTTAGTTAAGTTTCTGATATCATACCAAGTCAAAATTCATAAGGGAATAAGAGATTTCATGGGCAGAAGGCTTATTACTAAAGCAACATCCAATTCTCTACTCCAGAAAATGATAACGGATATTTTGATCTTTACATATGAGTAAGGGACAATCATCCTAAAAAAATAACAGAAATCTTTATCTTTAGATAAAGAAACAACAGAAAGAGCAGAACTGTTTTCTTAACAGAAAGAAAGAAGGCATACCAAGATTACGGTTGTTGATCCCAATAAGTTGAATCCCCTCTATTCCAAGAACACGATCAAATTCATTCTCATCATGCACCTAAGGGCAAACAGCACAAAGATTCAAAATATATGGATATTTTCTGCTGGTTATCACCAAATAAAAAAATGAAGAATGAACGTAAAATACAACAGATCCCAAAATTCTGAGTTGGCAGTAACAAAACTAGAAGCCATACCATGCACATTCAAGGATTAGGCAAATTGAATTGAAGTTATTTACATCATTGTAATATGCATGTAATTTCTTTGCAGTCTAAATGGAGGGGAAAATACACTAGGAAAGCGGAAAGCTCATAGTCTCAAATAGCATAGAGCTGGTCCCAAAATAGGTTCGGCTTTATTTGCCAATGTAAGGTGGTAAGTAAAAGGTTTCAGATTTGAGCACCAAAATGATGGAGTTTTACTACACATTTGCTTAACTGTAGAAACTAGAATTAAGCGCAACATAAGCAACAAAACAAACGAAGAACCATCAACTCTACCTCCACAAGAGCAGTCAGTCCAAGTATCTTGCATATCTTAATCATGTAACCAATGTCAAGATCCGGTAAAACAGCAGCAATAAGAAGAACTGCATCTGCGCCTTTAATTCGAGCATAATAAAGTTGCCATGCATCTACTATAAATTCTTTGCACAACAAAGGGCACTGCATATTTTTAGGCAATTAAGACACAAGACATACACCATTCTTTACGTAATACAATAAAACCAATATGAAAGAGCAAAACAACTCAGCAAGGAAACCTTTACTCCAGCCTTCCTTATCAAGTCAAGATTTTCAAAGCTCCCCTGTTTTGATAGGATGAAAGGCATGTTAAAGATAGCTAACACTGAGCTGCAGGTTCACAAAAAATACAAGATAGATAGCATACCTTGAAATACTTTTCATCTGTCAAAACACTTAAACATGCTGCTCCACCTTTTTCATAAGCTCGAGCTATTTCAACCTATCACAAAGAACCTCTAGAATAGTGCCATATACTGTGAAGAGAAAATAACAAATAAACTAGAGGACTGTGGTGATTATTGCTCATTGCATAGGGTGTTTAGAAGGTAATGAAGATGATCCGTTCAATGAGAAAACAAGAAATCTTCCAGAAGCAACAAACTAAGATTAGGTGTGATATGATATTGTAATAAATAAATAACAGAAGTAACAGAATGAGTAGTTACAGATATGAGAGGCAGTTATAAGCATTGTCGCCAATAAATAGATATTAAGTACCGATTTTTAAAGCAGGCTTTGATATGACATGGATTAGTGCCAGTTCCTATTCTCCGTTTTTGTTCTCTATCTTTCCCTCTTCTCCTTTGAATCCTCTCTTTCTCTCTGTCTCTCTTCTATTTCTCTCTATTTTCGCTCTCTTCTATTCCCTCTAATCTCTCTTGTCCTAATAACAATAATCTAACAGTATAGATATGAGAGGTAGTTGGAAGCATTGTTGCCTATAAATAGATATTATTTACCATCCAACAAGTTGCAATCCTGGAGGGAAGAGAAGATAACAAGCAAACTAGCAATGGTGACAGCCAGTTGATATAAGAATTCGCACTGGCACCAATAACAACTACACGCATCTTTTAAAAATGTTGAGAAATCACAAACAGATAAAAACAGAACAGAGTTAAAAGGGAAGGCACACTTACTGGATCGAAGTCCTCTCTCAGGACACCTCTACTCGGCGAAGCTTTCTTCACTTCAGCTATCAGTCCCGGAAGTCCTGTTCGCTCATTGGCCTCCCTCAAGGAACCAATGAAATCCCTGGTAGCAGGAGCATTTTCAAGAGCTTTCTTCAGTACAATGAGAGGCATTTTCTCTTTCATCTGAAAATCAAACAATTTACAGTTTATTTGCGTAAAAAGTATATTTATTTAAGTAAATTAAAATGAGAAATCAATCAGTCGTCATACCTGTGCGACTTCTGTATCCTTGTACCATATAATCTCTTCCAAAATATTACGAGGAGTATTTCCCTCATTCTGCAACCGGAATTCAAAGGGACCTACATAATGCAAAGGGGGCCCAGTTGGCGGTCTTCTCCTTATCCTTATACCATGGCTGGCAGCAACTTCATTCTGGAGCATGCCCACTTCCAACTCCTTAACTTCTAGGGAATCTGTCAAAGATTCACTAGATGTATCTATTGCAGGCGAAGTATCGGTTGAGCCCATCTATGAAAACAAACCAGAAAATGACATGAGCTTAAATGAGTATAGAGTAGGCACCAGGTTTCCGCATTATATAACCATTGCATCTTTACACTGAAAAATGAAGTCAAATATGGATAAAACAAAAGTATTAATTCATCATATACTCTACTGCCAATGAGATATGAACATTAAGGGAATCAATAAATGTGTGGAAGAAAGTGTGCAACTTTATGCAAAACGAGATAAAAGAAAATTAGAACAAGTAATAATCAAACCACAATGTAGATAGCAATGCAATCAATTAACTGGAGGTCACAAATCCAATTTCTCCCTCGATTTTCATCGAACTCATACAAACCCAACTAACCTCCGTAGTCATAGTCTAATACAAACGAACCAGGAGAACGAAAAATAAAAATAAAAAACATGAATACAAATCAGGCATGAAGAAATTTTGACCTGGGATCGAACAGAGAAAGCGGGAAAAGAGTGTCTTGCGCACGAATTCACTTGCGCTGGCGGCGGAATCCAGTTTGGGGTTCTGGAAGAGAGGGAAGGGGAAACCTGAAACGCAGGCTTGAGAGAAAGCGAAGAGTGCATTGTGGAGTGTGAAATAAAGATTGAGAGTGTAAAGAATGAATTTAGGAGGAGAATCCAAAGGAGGTTTGGCAAAAGACGAATTGATAAAACAGGAGGACAGCCCCTCTCTTTGGAGCCAAGATCTTCTGTTATTCTGTTACTCTGTTTCCCCCGGCATCAATTTTTGCGGTTTCTATTTCCAAATATCTAATTCTAGTGGACTCTGCTTTATTACCATCATCGAGGAACCTGTCTTCCTTGAAGCTATGGCGCGTACCTTCACGGCATCCCACAGAGCCACATGCAATTAAATTGCACTTTATTATTATTCTTTTTATTTTAATCATCAAAATTTTCCCCAATCTGAAGCTCGGTGGACATGAATCAGTAATTTTGTGATTACAAATTACCCCCTCACTTTAAAATATAAGCTAAATTTTGTTCAAATACTTAATGAGTTTTTTTAATTTTATTCTCATATATTCTATTTTCTCTTTAATTTATTTATTACATCTTTTACTTATTCTCTTCATTAATAAGGTATATTAAGAAAAACAAATATATACCTTACACATTTATTGTTTTAAATTGATTTTAATTAGTTTCTTGATAAACATAATGGATAAAGTTTAGTTTATATTTTGAACCCGAGGGAGTACTATGTATTATATACTAAAAAAGAAATAAAAACTAATTGTAGACAATAAATCACGAATATAATCACATTCCTTTTCAATTTCTTTAAATACATGGTCCTATGAATCCATGGCCAGAAAATAGAAAATAGAAAACAGAGGCAAAAAAAAAAAAAAGAAGAAGAAGCAAGTTTTCTATTCTTATGCTCAATTACTTTTTCTCCCCAAAATACATAAACTCTTAAAGATAACTAGTTGCTTGTGATTTAATATTTTATAAAATTGTGTGTATGATAATAATTGTATGAAATGTTAAATCTCGCCATTTTCTGCCCTAAAACAGACAAAAACTGTAATACTTAAAACAACAAGACTTACATGATGTGGTGCATCCGTGTACCTTTCGATAATTTTGATTTAGAACAACTTTATTTAATTATTTTTTTAACTTAGAATATTCATAACCACTCAATCATGTTAATTTCTTAATTAGATAAACCAGAACTGAGTTACTTAAAGTCAAAATTCAAAAAATGAATAAAAAATTTACTTAATAAAAATTATATTTTTTTCTAAATTTAATTTAGGAACATAAAATAAATAAAAAATGCAGTAACTTTAATGTTGACAAAGAAAAACTTAATTTTGGGTTAATCATCAAAAGGCACCATCAACCCATCAATAGTAGCGTTAGATCATCGCCCAAATTATTCTCTTCTTTTTTTTTTGGCACAACTCACCCACTTATTATATCCCCCATAGAGAAGTTATAATTGGCCGGAGAAAAATATATATATGTACAGAATTGTTACGGACCATGGCTAGATTTTGATGAGCCTGCACTAAGCTGAGTTTTGCAGTAGGGGGAGGAAATGAGTAGGGAAGCTTCAAGTTCGTAGCTTCTTGAAGTCCCAGGAATCTCAACCATAACCAATTTGCAGAAGAAGAAACAAAGCTAATTAAACAAGCTGCCATAAATGAAGAGAGCTGAGCTGAACATCTTCGCCTTAAAAAAGAGCATCTTGTGTAAAGCCTGCCGCACCATATCCTGAACCCAAAGCACCATAGGCAGCCCCAATCATACCATTCCCATGTTGAGGTGAATAAGTTGAAAATACACTTGTGTTCTATGAAACTGGTGTCTATTATGAGTCCTGAGGAGCCTCACAAGTGTGATAGGGTTTTTAAATTCAAGTGGCTCTCTGTCCTGATACTCTGATATGCTTGTTATTTTAAAAGTCACCACCCCAAAACTTGGCCATGCTTATCCACACTGCTGTTTGAGAAAACTAGGGAGTGGACATTGGAAATATTATGTACCGTCAATTTCATGTTTTCAGTATCTTGCCAGATGACTTCTCAGCAAAGTGAACAAAACCAAATCTGCTCTTTTCATGTCCAGCTTTAGCAGGAAGGAGTATGATATGATATAGCTGCTGGGTTTAGTCAGACCTATAAACAGTAAGTCAAAGGGACGCCAAAGTCAGGGGAATAAAGGGTAGGGTGGCTGTAGACTTTGTACATGTGACAGGGTAACTTTCGTCACTCTTCGTTGTTGCTTATATTATGGAATTCGTTGTCTTTTGGAGGGTACGATGTTTCTTTTTAGAGAGGGATAGAGATTAGGAGGGGAATGGTCTCACGGATCCCAGTGAGCACCTTGCTTTTGACTTTAGTTGTGTTCTGTTCTTTGTGATTTCAGTATGTAATAGGGAATTGATCAGAATCAGTGACTTCTCTGCTATAACATTGATTATGCTTCTCATATTAATATCAAAATCTCAGTATTTTCCTTATTTTGCCTCGTTTGCACTCAGTATTTATCATGTCCAGTAACAGTTGCTGAGGCTCCTATCAGAGTACCACTTCAGTGATTTTTCCATGATCCTCAAACAACTCCTTAAGGCGATCTCTAGTAACGATTTTTGGCAGATTTTCTACACATTACACTGCCTTTACCAGTATCAATCTGCTACCATCAGTCAAACAGAGATCTAAAGTATGTATAGCACGGTTCATGGATATGCTAAAAATAAAATTGACAAGAATTTTCTTGTGGAGGCCATTAAAACAATATAAAAGAGATAAGGTGTTTAAATACCCCTCCATGAACGAACACCCAGCATCTAAAATTTTTTTGGCTCTTATATATTCTGAAAGTTTCCTAATTATTATCTGCCATTAAATTTGACCGTTAAATTATGTGAATGATCAAACTTAACAGCAAATAATGGTTCATGGGAAAAATGCTACCAAAAAGACTTTCAGGGTATAAAAGGAAAAAAAAAATTTCAGGTGCTAGCTGCTCCTTCATGAATACTTCCTAGGTATTTAAGCACCTTATCTTGAACAAACTAAGCAAAATTCACTTTGATGTGAAAATCATGACTATGTCCTCCTCACATTTCACGTGAGATCACTTTCATTACAGATATCTTAATGAGCAGGCCGTTGAAATTGGTTGAAAATCTAGTTCTTACATATCTCAGCACCCAAAGTTCGCCACTTTTTGTTGCTCGAGATCTCATGCAGGTGACGAGACACGCAGATTTTTTGGAAACATATACGTTCTGTGCTTGCAGGGTATTTCAAGTCCAACCATTGTTTCTCAGTAAAGTGCTTTATGTAGCGTTAGCTTTGAGTACTGATGATTTCTGAAATGATTTATGTGAAGCTCTTTTTCAGGTCACATCTTCAAGAGGGTCTTCGATTTGTTTCGCGTGGTCTATATCCATGCAACCTATATGCTCAGATTTAAATATAAAAGAAAAATGATGCAGAGGCGCAATAAGACGACTGTATTCTACAATCTTAAATTTAAACTGTGGTAATCTTTTGATTCATATATCATGGTTAGTAATAATGTGATAAGTTGCGCATAGGTGCGTTCTATTTTTTTTTTTTTAACTGATTTTTTTATCTCACCACAAGAAAATCTGTCACTTTCAGATAGATTTTTGCAAGTTCAAAAGACATCAACAAAGCATCATAAATAAGTTGATATTCAAATCCGATAAATAATGTGCCCAATTCTTCATTTGAGGCAAATAAAGAGACGCTAATCAGTTTAACACATGTAATAAGATGTTATTTTCAATATGCAATATGCTTCAAATGTCACCAGAAATCTCCACATGAGCAAGTACCATCCCTAAAATGATGAAATCTCTTTAGGTCTCTCAGTATAATTTCCCTCTGGCTCATTTTGCTAGCATATTTCATTATAAAATGGCAATCGCCACATATTCTCAAGTTCTTCACAATCCTAATGGTCGCCCTTGGAGCAGTACTGATGAGACCAAAAGCAAGAGCCAATTTCTCACTATGCCTTCCTAATGATTCTTCCTTCTCTTCCTCCTCAATATTATGAAGTACCCAATCAGTTTCAGGCACATAACCTTCTTTCCTAGCTCCTGCCATTATTTCCTCTAATTTCCCATATATCTCTTTAGCATGCTTATGATCTTGATCTCCGGCAACAAAACTGTGAACTTGGCCATCTACTTCAATATAACTCCATCCAGGATCCTTTCCTGCTCCACTGCTTTGCATCAAAACTCTTACTCTCTCTACATCATCCCATCGCCCCACTGTGGCATAAACGTTTGATAAAAAGACATAGCTTCCAGGGTGCTTTGGTTCAAGCTGCAAGAGTTTGTTTGATATTAATTCTGCCATTTTGATATTTTTGTTAGCCTTACAAGCACAAAATAGCGTTCCCCATATGACGAAATCAGGAGCCATTGGCATGCTCTGGATGAACTCAAATGCTTCATCTAGTCTACCTGCTCTACCTAAAAGATCTATGACTAATGCATAATGTTTCATTGTTGGCTCAATGGCATACTCATATCTCATCCTGTCAAAGAAGCGTAACCCTTCATCTACTTGCCCTGTGTGTGAGCATGCAGTTAAGATGGCGAGGAAGACAACACAGTCAGGTTTCACGCCTGCATAGGTGGCAATATTCAGGCAAATAATAATTTAAAATAACAAAAAAAAAAAAAAAAGAACTGAGATGCTGGTTAATGGAATAAGAATTGGAAATTTGTGTTTGCACCTTTAGACTTCATCAATTCAAAGCACCGCAGAACTTGCCCATGGTGACCATGGATTGCCCATCCCCATAGCATAGTACTCCAACCAAGAAGGTCTTTTTGTTTCATGTTAGAAAACACTTCACTTGCGGCCTCAATGTTCCCACATTTGGCATACATATCCACTAGAGCATTTCCAATTGCTTTAGTGATGAAGAAACCACAATTTGAGATATAATTGTGAATTCGAATTCCAGCCTCTAGTGCACCAATTTTTGCAGAAGCTGATAGAGCAGAAACAATAGTAAGATCATTCGGTTTCACGCCTTCTTCAAGCATTTTAGAGAAAAATGACAATGCCTCTCTATGGTCTCCATTTTGAGAAAAACCTTTTACCATTGTGGTCCATGAGACCACATTCTTCTCCTTCATTTGATTAAATAGCTCTCTTGCGGCATTCATATCGCCATTTTTTGCAAACCCATTTATTAAGGTATTCCAAGACCCAACATTTTTTTCAGGCATACCTTCAAAAGTTCTCTAGCCTTGTCCAAATCTCCCATTTTACAACATCCATTAATAGAAACATTCCACAACAATATGCTTCCACGCTTCACAGTCTGCGGCGTTTCATCAAACAGTTTTAGTACAGAACCCAACTTCTCTACTTTAACGTACATATCCGCCAAGGAAACTCTAACAAAGTTATCAAATTCCACGCCAAATTTCAAAATCGCCCCATGAAGACAATCGCAGAGATCGCCCGCGACCAAAGCCGCGGCTGACTTTAGGATGAATGGAAACGTTAGCCGGTCGGGCCTAACATTCAACCTCATCATGAGACCAAAAAATGAAATTGCACCTTCGAACTCGTCATTTTCACAAAGCCCACGAATCAAAGCATTGCAAACAAACAAGTTTTTATCCTGATACTGCTCAAAGATCGCAAATGCATAATTAATGGATTTCAGGAGAGAACAGGAAGATATGAACTGGGTTGTAACTCGACTGCTTGAGAATAAGTTGGAAATGAGTATCTGAGCATGAATTTCTCGGAGTTGCCGGCTAGTTCTTGAGGCATGAATAAGAGAAATTAGATGGGTTTCGGATCGGTAAGAAGTAGATTTAGTATGGAAGAAGATGCTAGTGACTGTCTTGGGGCGAAACCATGACTTCGAGAGATCTAGGAGTGCTTTCATTACGGATCCAGTAAAAAAGGGCGTAGCAATGCGTGGAGAATCAAACGAATAAGACGTACCATCGTCTTATGGACTTCGCTTACTACCAAGATCCCTGTGTAACTGAAGCTCGTTAGCTTTTCTGGTTTCTCTAACCAAAATCCATGTGCGGAAGTCAGATTAAGGGGGTGTTTGGCTATCTCCCCAAACCATGATTTGAAAAAAAATCAGCCAAACACCCCATTTTAATTTGAAACCATGGTTTTGATCCCCAAAACCTTGGTTTGGGAAAAAGCTATCCGGAGCTGCTTCTTGCTTCAAATTATTGATTGTTGGTGGTGGGCCCAGGGAATATTACAGAGAGCATGCGTCAATTATTATTCCTTCACTCTCGGTTTCGCTCTGAAGAAAACAGAGCTTCGGTCCTTCACTCTCGACACTTCGCTCTGAAGAAAACTTCGCTCTTCAGTCCTTCGCTCGCCGGTCCTTCGCACATCAGAAAACAAATTCAGCCAGAACACGTTGCCTTCCTCCTTTGCTCCTCCTGAGTTAGAACACGGTGCTGCCGGTGAAGTCGTGGTCGAGTTGCGGTTTGAAGGTGCCGGTGAGAGAATCCTCTGCTCTGTAGAAGAAGATCGCCCCTTGGGTTGTGATCCGTTCATTTCATTGCCGTGAAGCATTTTGTCGGTGGTGGTTTCATCTTGGTGAGGTCGTCGTTGGTGGTTCCCTGGCGCAAATCCGGTGCTCAGGTAAGGTGTCTCCTTTGGAAAAATGAATTGTTCCTCATTCCTTTTCTTCTTCTCCATTGTGTCGAAATCCTGGCTTCAATTTGCTGCTTGTCTCTATTTCAGTTGGTTCATGCCTATTCTGCCAACATGGAGTGCATCGTCTGGTGGTCTTTATATGTTTTCTTGGTTCATACATTTGTTTCTTTCTCAAAATTCTCACCGTAGTCCATTTTCGTTTCATTGCTGGCTTGAGTGGTTGTTTGCTTGGTGCATAGCTGCTTGAAGTTTTGCTTCAGGTGTGGGTTCATTTATGTTGAAACCGAAACTTCATGCTTGCCCTGGGTTAATTTGATCTCGGTTTGCCTCCTCTGCTGAAATCGAGACATCGTTCATCTGATTTCAGTTTGGTTCCTCTGTTGAAACCAAAACATCATGCTACTTCCATGGACTGACCGAAATCTGGTATAGAACATGTACTCAACGTTTTGATCAGTTAACCAAAACGTCTTTGTATTTCTTTTTATTCGAGTGGTTACCGACATCTGTTAGGGATTTCAATTAGTGGTTGTACTCACGTTTTGGTCAGTTAATCGAAAAGAATTCCCCTGAATGGTGGGAAAAAAAATCATCATTAATTTTGGGATTTTGATTATTAATGACACCTCATTTTGCTGGAAAAAAAAGTCATTATTTGTAGTTTATTAGAGATAGAGGATATGTTATTTTGACCTGAATGTTGTACTTCAATTAACTTGACATGAATGGCATAGAACATGTGGCTATACTTGTTAAATACTATACCTGTTATATCATATCTCCAGGACTGAATGGTATGCTTTTTGGGTTGAACTTGTGATGATTGAAATGTTGTAATTGGTCTATAGCATAATGAGTAAAAAAAAAAACAAAGCTTCGTGGGATATAAGAACCACAAAGGTCTTTATTGACCTATGCATTGAAGAAGTTGAAAAAAGGGGAAGAAAAGGAACTAACTTGACAAAGCTTGCTTGGACAAGTCTTGTGGACAGCTTCACTGCAAAGACTGGGAGAGTCTATACGAGAATCCAATTGAAGAACAAATATGATACCCTGCGAAAGGAGTGGCAGTTATGGGTAGGCTACTCCGTGAGACAGGTTTGGGGTGGGATGCTGAAAGGAATACTGTTAGTGCCCCTGATGATTGGTGGGAGAAGAAAATAGTGGTAATGGTTTAACTTTTTTTGAGCTTGCATTTTCTCACATGTTAACGTTTTTTGTATAATGTATTATATTTTTGGTGTTGAATGCACAGGAAGTTCCAGGCTACGAGAAATTTAGAGAAAAAGGGCTTCAATTTCGGGCTGAATTGACTCAACTCTTTGGGTCTGTAGCTGCAACTGGACCACAGTCATGGGCACCTTCTTCCATGACACTTCCAAGCGAAGGAGTTCCTGAAGATGATATAGAAGAAGGGTCTGGAGATAGTGATGAACTTTTAGGGGCACAAACTGGCATAAGCGGAGAGTTTAATTCGGTCACATTCAATGACAATAGTGGAGGAAGTGAAGGCAACACTGGGATGAGACAGGAAACCAATCGTGGGGGTAGAAGCACAGGTGGCAGTCGACCTAGTAGCTCATTAAGGGTTAGAAAAAAAGGTGAATCCATGAAGAAAAAACCCACTACCACTATGAAAATAGCGGATGCACTAAGCAGGATAGCTCAAGCAAATGAAAATGATTCTCAGTGTGAACATGAGGAGATTTCAGAAGCACGTGCTTATGAGACGTCAATTGCGGGAGTCATGGAGCACCTTAATGAAGTTGATGAAGTTGTTGATGATCCTGATCTGTTTGGCCGGTGCACAACACTCCTCATGGACAAGCCAGCTGCAAGGGAGATGTATGTGGCTCTAAAGAACAAGAGGGAAAAACTCCTGATCTTCTTGAAGCATGCAACTAAGGATTGAGACTTCATTTGTGTTGCTTATTATATTATTTGACTACTTTTTGTGTTGCTTAGAAGATGACTGTGATCATTTGTATATATTTTTAGGAATTATGTAACCAGCACTATTGTATATATTTTTAGCATGCAACTGGCCCTTTTTCAAACATGCTATTTGAGCAATTGATGGAACACATATTTCGTGCGTTGTTTATGCAATTGAACAAACAAAATTTATTAACCGAAAAGAAAGAGTGACGCAAAATGTAATGGCGGTTTGCGATTGGGACATGTGCTTCACTTTTGTATTGGCTGGATGGGAAGGTAGTGTGCATGATGCTCGTATATTTGACCACACCCTCACAACTCCTTCCATGAACTTTCCCCATCCGCTTCAAGGTATATTTTAAATTGCTACAATTTATTTATGCTTAACTATTAGAAAACAAAGTTTATTAACACCAATCATATATTTCATGTAGGCAAATATTATTTGGTGGATGCTGGCTATCCGACACCCATGGGATACCTTGGTCCCTACAGACGTGAACACTACCATCTCCCTGATTTTCGAAGGTCATCTGCATTTGAAAATGAGAATGAGGCGTTTAATTATTTGCACTCAAGTCTACGGAGCACTATTGAAAGAACTTTTGGAGTTTGGAAGAGTAAGTTTGCAATTTTAGGAAACATGTCGAGCTATGACTTTCCAACACAGGTTCAAATTGTTTGTGCAACGATAGCCATACATAACTTCATTAGATCAACATCCATTTCTGATCCTGGTTTCATTCAGTTTGAACAAGAAGGTTTTTATGCAGAAGAAAATAATAATGATGATGGAGTTGGATCTTCACATATACCTTCATCAATAGAATCTTCATCTCACATGGCTCGACTTCGTGACTCCATAAGAGATTAAATTGTTCACTATATACAAGAATAGCCATGTCTTTCTTATTTCCTTTTTCTTTTCAGATAATGTAATGTGTTGTTAAAAAAAACTACTTGGACAAATATATTTCGTTGCAACCTCTATTATTAAGACAATTAATATGAAATTTTTTGTGTGGTTATTTAATTTTGTGAAAAAAAAATTATGGGATTTCATCTTTAAGAAATAATAATATTTTTTTTGGCAAAATAAATCATTTTCCTAAAAAACATATTTAATTATATTATTAATATATATACACATTAATTTTTTATTATTTATATTATTTATGTCTTATTTATTATGTTGCCAAAATATATATTATTAACAAATTTATTACTTCAAATAAACATATATTATGAAATATATCTTATATGTAATTATCGTTTAAACTTATGTCTTTTTTAGTAATTTCTACATATCAAAAAACACTTCTGACAATAATTATCCAAACACTCTTACTTTATCAGAATCACTTTTCAGAAAAGCTATTCTTTCAAAATCTATTCTCCAAAAGCTATCCTCCAAACCATGGTTTTGCCTTATCCAAACACCCCCTTTGGATGCCTATGCGTGCCTTGCGAGCTTCGGATTTCAAAAATTAGAGATTTATTGCTTTTTGAGTACTACCTGATTTTATGATATTCTGAATATAAATACTACCTCTTACACGTCAAAAAGAATATAAATATTACTGATTAAAAAAACTAATTAAATTAGTTATTTATAATAAATATGTGTTATCTTTTTTAAAATAATACTCCTCCAATAAGGGTCTTATATTTAGGACCAGAAGAGTATTACTAATCAAGTGTGTTAGTTAGAACTATTATTATTACAAAGACTATTTTTCTAAAAAATAGATAAATATGAGAGACAAGATGGATTGGATTTTTATATTTAGAATCAAAATAAAAATCAAACAAAATCTTATATTAAGAACCAGAACTCGCATCAAATAACTAACTTACACTAAAATTAGTTAAAACACACTTATTCATGAAGAAGGTGAATGGAAGAGTGAATGAGTAAAAATAAGAGATAAAAGAGAATGTGTCAGAGAGAAAATATGAAAGAAATATATAATTAATTAGAGACATAAAAATGAAAAAATGTATTAAATGATGCTTATAACAAAATCAAATCCTTTTAAAAATTTGATGCTTATATTTTCAACTGGGGGGAGTAAAATATTAGAATGTATATTAATATTGTAAAATAAATTAATAAAACTTTAAAAATTGTATAACTTTTTAGGTCAAGATAGGATCCGGACACCTCTTTTCACATCTCAAGTTATTTTTGTCCAATCTTAAAAATTTTCATACTAAAGTTAAGACGAAGTTACAGGGATGAGACATGTTTAAGTACCTTTACATTTTGTCATATTAAAACCAAGAAAATGGGTTAAACTCATCAGACCAGTTAATTTAAAGGAAAATTTTCAAAAAATATACTCCTAAAATTTTAAAATTTTAAATAAAAAATAACTATAAAAATATGTTATTATTTGTTTTTTTAAATATTATCAATTATTATTAAAATATAATAAAT